GGGAAGCTATCTTGATGATGAGCTTGGAAGCTGTCTTGATGATGAGCTCGGAAGCTGACTTGGCGAGCTTGGAAGCTGTCTTAATGACGTGTTGAGTAGCTCAGGAAGCTGCTTTGAGGATGAGCTCGGAAGCTGTCTTGGTGAGCTTAGAAGTTGTCTTGATGACGAGCTCATAAGCTGTCTTTGTGAGCTTGGAAGTTGTCTTGGCAAGCTTGAAAGCTATCGGAGCGAGCAAAGCTACGAGCTAGGGAGGCCGTGAGCTATGGGAGCTGTTGAGCTAAGGAGGTTTAGCGAAGCTAGAAAATGACGAGCTGGTAGAGCTAGGAAAGTTTGGCGAAGCTAGGAAATAACGACCTCGCGGAGCAATGGAAGCTTGGCGAAGCTAGGGAATGACGACTTGGCAGAGTTAGGGGAGCTCGGCGGAGCTAGGGGCGAAGCTTGGGAATGATGACCTCGCATAGCTAGGGAAGCTTGGCGTAGCTCGGGAATGACGACCTCACGGAGCTTGGGGAGCTCGGCGGAGCTAAGGAAGTGGGCGAGCTTGGGAGCGACGACCTGGCGAAGCTTGGGAAACTCGACAGAGCTAGGGAAGTGGGCGAGCTTGGGAGCGATGACCTGGCAAAGCTAAGCAAGTGGGCGAGCTTGGGAGCGACGACCTGGCGAAGCTAAGGAAAGGTGGAGACCTAGGAAAGCTGCGAGGGAGCTCCGAACTGGGGAAGCTAAGGAACTGGGCAAGCTTGGGAGCGACGACCTGGCGAAGCTAAGGAAAGGTGGAGAACTAGGAAAGCTGCAAGATGGGGAGCTCCGAACTGGGGGGAGCTGTCAGAGCAAGTTTCAAAGAGTTTGTAGTGGAGCATCTCAGCTCTTATAAAAAAAATGAATCCCTTTTCTTAGTGGGGTGCCCTCTCTATTTATAGAGAAAATGAGACACTAATCATGGTATGAAAATAACATTGGTTACTTTTGGTGAATTACTTTTGGTCAAATATTATTAGCTTTAGCAATTAATGGGCTTTATGAGCTGATTTTAGATAAGGGTGATCAACCCATACCCAATGTCTGTGTTCTTTAAATCATAGTGTTTCTTCTTCTTGGCTTGTTTTTGTAACCAAAATCGCATATCAATATAAAATAAT